GCGCTACCTGATGAGTCCACCAGTTTTAGCTGCACCCATCGCTGGTAGGCCGTTAATTCTCTATACTACTGCCTTGGATGAATCACTTGGTGCACTTTTAGCTCAAGAAAATGAGGAAGACAAAGAGAACACCTTGTACTACCTTAGCAGACGATTAATTTCTGTAGAGCTAAAATACCCGGCAATGGAAAAGCAGTGTTTGGCTTTGATCTTTGCTGTGTAGAAGCTTAGACACTATATGCTTTCACACAAGATCAGTTTGATTTCTCGAGTTAATCCTTTGCAGTACCTGATGACCCGTCCGACTTTGTCAGGTCGTTTAGCACGTTGGTCCATGATTTTACTGCAGTTCGATATTACCTTTGTCCCTCAGCGGGCCGTCAAAGGACAGGCTCTAGCTGACTTTCTTGCTTCTCACCCGATCCCTGCAGATTCCCCACTTAATGACGATTTGCCTGATGAACTAGTCATGAGTGTGGAAGAGCAAGAGTCCCCTACTTGGGAGTTTTACTTTGATGGAGCCTCTTCCATCAAATCACTACGTCCTTACGAAACTCCTGTTGTTAGGGTAGGTTTGGGGCTTGTTTTTGTGTCTCTTGAAGGCCACACCCTTCGCTACTCTTATAGTCTTTCAGGACCTCATACTAATAATGAAGCTGAGTACGAAGCCTTGATTGTAGGACTTGAGTTGGCCATTCAGATGAGCATTGTGCGGGTGAAGATCTTTGGAGATTCCCAATTAATCATTAATCAAGTGGCTGGAATTTTCAAAGTTCTCAAACCTGAGCTCTTGCCTTATCATAACAAGACAATGGAGCTCTTATGTTTGATCCCTGAAGTGACTTTAGTTAGAGTCCCTCGATCTGAGAATGGTAGAGCGGATGCACTAGCTAAATTTGCTAAGGACTTGGCTGACCCTACTGGAAATCCGGTGTCGGTTGTTGTTCAGTATCGTCAGGCCTTGTGCCCCGCAGACTTGTCTTCTCCCGGTCAGACCCTCACAGTGTGAGCTGTTGAGGAAGAGTCAGATTGGAGATCCTTTTGTGGAGTACTTGAAGCGCGGAAAGCTTCCGGATGACCGCTCTCTTGCCACTCAGATTAGAAAGAGAGCTTTTTCATTCTCTTATGTGAATGAAACCCTGTACCGACGCTCTTTTGACCAGATGTGGTTACGTTGCCTCAACAACGAGGAGGCTTGTAAGGTCATGGGCGAAGTGCATGAGGGACTTTGTGGCGCTCATCAGTCCGGACCTAAGATGAAGGTCAGAATTAAACGCCTTGGTTATTACTGGCCGACAATGATCCGTGATTGTATGGAGCACGCCACGAGGTGCCACCAATGCCAGATTCATAATATTGTCATCCACCAACCTCCTAATCCGTTGCACCCCACTATATCTTCTTGGCCTTTTTAGAGTTGGGGCACAGATGTAGTGGGTCCTATTGACCCTCCTTCCTCAAAGGGTCATAGGTTTATTCTGGTTGCTACTGATTACTTCTCTAAGTTGGCAGAAGCTATCCCACTTAAGGAAGTCAAATCAGAAGATGTGATGCGCTTCTTCCGCGATCATGTTGTCTGCTGTTTTGGTGTTCCGTGCCGTATAATCTCGGATAACGGCCCGTCTTTTAGAAGCACCAAGATTTCTAGATTTGCTCGCCGCCATAACATAAATTGGCGGTATTCCTCAATTTATTACCCTAGGGCTAATGGTTTGGCTGAAGCATTCAATAAGACCTTAGTCCAATTGATAAGAAAGATTCTTGTGGCAAATAAAAGAGAATGACACGATAAATTACCTGAAGCATTATGGGCTTATAGGACCACATACCGTACTCCTACTCAGTGTACACCATATGCTTTAGCTTTCGGGGTTGAAGCTGTCCTCCCACTTGAGGTCGAGCTCCCTTCGTTGCGTGTAGCAATTAGCCACAATCTTTCTCATGAAGATAATGCCCGACTACGGTTGGAAGAACTTGATGGTTTAGAAGAGCTCCGTTTGCAAGCTCATTAGAACCTTAAGTTGTATCAGGCCCGGATGGCCCAGGCCCATGATCGCCTCGTCCGACCCCATGCTTTTCAGGTCGGGGAGTTAGTCCTTGTCTTGCGTAGGCCTATCATCTCGCGTCGTCGTCGAGGTGGCAAGTTTGAGCCAATTTGGGAAGGCTCATTTATTGTAGAGCAAGTATACGAAGGTGGATCTTATTTGCTGGTTGATACGAATGGTGTTCATCCCATGCCCATCATTAATGAGCAGTATTTGAGAAAGTACTACGCTTGAGTTTGCACATCGCAAGAGGCATCCCCCGCCACTTGTAAATATCCTTCTGTATAGATATAACTTTGAAAGATTTCTTGTACTTTTCGGCAGTCCGTGGCCACGACGATTTGTCCTCTACCACGTGATGTTCGTCATGCAGAGTACAAGATCATCGCCGTAGGGATGTTTGTGCTTACGTTCACATTCACTAGTCACTTTGGTGTTGTTGCACAAAATCACCTTTCCAACCCCTGTAAGGGTTGGCTTTCCCCAGTTTCACTTGTCACCTTCAAGTGTGGTCTGGGATACCAAAACTACTA